CCTACCACTTCAAACTTAACCTGCCTCTGGGGTCCTTATAGAATAATTATCATCCTCAACTCAAACTTGTCAGGAGAACCACTAAAGACCCCATCCCTTACCCTAGACTGGGGATCTTTACAAACCACAAGCCTAACTTTAGGGCTGAAACATTTATACCCAAACCCAACTCCTACTCAGACCTCGTTTTATCCCAATATTAACCTTAACTAGGGGCCCCTTTTAACCCAAATGTAATGCTAGTGCTGGTGTCTGCTACTGAACACTATCCTATCACAACCTTGACATGAAAGCCTTGTGATCCCTCCTCTAATCATTGCCCAGGGAGCCTCAAAACTCCCTGCTACACTAATTCAAGCCTAAGAACCCCTTCCCTAACCCTAGCCATTGCCCTGGGACCTCTGTCAAATTCAACCCTAAACTTAGAGAACTCTAGCAAACCCAACCCTCATCCTAGCCCGGGGCACCTATGATATATGCCACAGCCCAAACAGTAACCCTAATTTAATATAGCTTCTCAGTCCCTAATGACCCCAAATTTATCCTAATAATGGGGTCCCCCTGGATGAAATCTTACCCTACCCTGAAACGCATACCAGCACTAATGTGGGAACAGCCAATAAGCCAACACTAATTATCGTCTGTGGGTCTTTTCTAACCCAAACCATAACCCTATTCTGTAGACTCCATAGATCCAAAGTGTAACACCTCTTTGGGAACCCACAACATTAATTCAACCCTAGAGACCCCTACCAATCCAGAGATCCCTACTAAACCCAACACCAACCTAATCTGGGGCCACAACCCTAACTCTAGCCTGGGGACCTCTACCAACACTAAGTAAGCCCAGCCCTTGCACATCTATTGACCCCATTCTTAACTATAGCTCCAGAGTGGTTGCTGTCCCAACTGTAACCCTACCTTGAAACTACCCCAACCATAACTTGAGGGGTGTGAGGAGATCCTACCAAGTTAAACCCTAACCTACCTCAGGGGAATTTACCAGTACCTACTCAATCTGTAGCCTGGCAACTCCAATTTGACTGGGAACCACAGGAGCCATTTTGGGTCTAATATTAACCCTAACCCAGGGAGTTCTGTGGGGCTGACCTTAGAACACTCACCCTGGAATGAAACTCCCTAACAGGCCAAACCTTGATGTTAGCTCAGTGGCCCTTTTCTCTGCAAGTGCTTCTGGGTGTCCCTCTCTTCAGGAGCACTGCCAAACTACCCTAACCCTAGTCCAGAAGACCCTACCCAGTATAACCTCAACTATAGTAAAGGCAGACCTACTGAGTGGGACTAGGTAGAATTAGGGTCAAACCTGGAAGGACTCCCCTTAGTGTGTTAAGGATTTAGTCCAGTAGGGCTTCTGGAACTATGCTTAGGGTTAGCCTAGCCAGGCTCCCAGTGTTTGGTTCGGGTTGGGCCTGGCAGAATTCCTGTTGTTAAAGCTGAAGTTGAGGCCTGCAAGGGTCCCTGGACTACGGTAAGTGTTGGTCCCAGTTAACATCACTAGGCCAGGATAAAGTTAATTTTTTTTATTAACCAAAGGCTCCAGTTACTTTAAGTACAGCAGGCCAATCTTGCAGTATGGACAGGCAGCTAAGCAAAAGCAAGTGGCACTGCAATAATCTTGCTGTGTGAGATAGATGGCCAGGTAGCCTGAAGGTAAATGCTGCAAGCAGCTGAGTTAGACTACAGTAGGGGAAGACAGGCTGGTCATTTGACAGAAAATTAAACCTGTGCATGGCTGAGTCATGTGTTTGGAAAGGGCAGGGTTTGGGAGCATAAGCCTGGAGCAAAGGGAGCAGTCTGGGTCTGCATGCTGCAGGGGGAAGAGCTCCTGAGAGAGAAGGGCTGCAGGAGACAGATGGTCAGACACCCAAGCCTCCCAAGAGACCTGAGATGAAAGAGAAGTATGAGGTCCCTCCCACAAGAGAAGTATGACTTGTGGGAGGGACATTGACCCAGAGTGGGGAAAAATTTAATTTGTAAAACAACTTGCCTGTGTTTATGTTTCATTTAGCCTTGATACCAGAGGATTCCGTTATCCAGCCCACTGATTACTACCCCATGGTCCTAGTCCAT